CCGTGGCTGGAATTTCATAAGCCAACAGAGGAGTTTCATTCTCCAGAACTGCTCTGAGAAGTGTTTATGCCCAAACACTACATTCACAGACAGAAGATTATCTATGAACAAGCGTGGATACGCAACTATGACCAAACCAAGATAAACCAAAATTCTACTCTGAGGAGACATTTAAAATATTTGAAATATTTGCATTTGTGTGAGACAGTAGTGACAATGATAAGAATGGGCACCAAGAAGAATAAAATTGTGCTTATCACAGACATTTTTTAAAAAGAAAGTAAGGAAAAAAATGAAAACAAATCATAACTGAAAGGATTTGGATAATGTACCTCTTGCATAAATGACAAATGAATGAGAAAATTAAAACTGAAGCACTCAAAATAACAGAGTAAAACAAAAATAGCCCTGAACTGAGTTGTAATGTGTAACCAAGAGAAGTGTAGGATAAAGGGAAAGTCACAGGCACTATTACCACACAATCAAAGCTCTAGTAACTAGGTGGGCCTTTTAGGTTTAAGATATACTGTATTTGTGAAAAAAGATTACATGTTTTTTAGAACATAGTTAATGGAATGCCAAATATACAAACATTACCAATATTATGTTAAATTTGACAATATTATATTCCTTCTCCTGTCAAACAGAGCAGAATTTGCAAGCGTTTTTTAGATGTTTCTGGAGAATTCTCCTTTTATGGATTTAACTATATCCTTTCTTCCTGGACAAGGAAAGAGGAAAATTCCCAACAAGGCTTCTGGCTGTGGCAGCTATGGTTGTATATTTTCCTGTCTATCTATCTATCTATCTATCTATCTATCTATCTATCTATAAAATACATAGTGTATATATATATGTATAGTATAAATATAGTATAATATACATACGTATTATAGCATATATATATATATATATTTTTTTTTCTTTGTGAGCCTTGAAACAATCAAGATACTAGAATACACCTACAGAAGAAGAATAAAATAGCAAAGGAAAAAGAAAGTCTTGCTATTTTCCTTGTATCACTTTTTTGGATCTTGGCCACTGAAGTCACGATTCATGAGAAGAAAACAATGGCTCATATTATCTTCGTCTTCTATGAAGAAGTATCATGGTATACTTACTTCACTTACTGGGAAGAAAAAAGTATATTTAGGGCAAATTGATGATTGCTAAAGAAAAAAATCAGTACAGAGTTTAACATAAGAACAGCCACTAACTGTCCAAGAGTAGTTGGTTTTGGATATTACTTACCTCTTTTTGAGAAGATTCAAGTTTCCATTTCATTGACATTGCTCTAGACTTACCTGTGTGTAAATGGATTTATCTGCTTAGCCAAATGTCACCATTACACAGTATTAATCTTGTGAAAGGCAGAAAAACAACACTGCAACCACACCACAATTATCAATCATTAAAATATTGCATGACTTCTGAAAATATATTTGGAGACAAATGAACCGCGTATTACTTTTAGAACCTTTCATATAATTTTAATTACTGTATGTTTCTATCTTAGATGTTTCTACAAATTAATGGATGAAATAGGCATCTTATGCATTCACTTTCCCAAACTGCTTCCTGCCAGAAGATTAGTTCTGCCCCACCTCTCTTTTTCTTCCAGGGAAATTTTATGTCAAGTATTTTGTACCAGGCATGGCCAATGGCTGATCTGCAGCCTCAAGATTTCTGTCTTTCATACCAGAGCCATGTGGCCACAAGCAACATTTTAAGACTCACTGAAAGATAGTGTTAGACCTTAGAACGTCAGCTAAGGTTTGGCCTTGCAATGCTATGGTGACTTATCATTTTGGAAACAACTGCTCAGTATTTGGTGGCTAAATGTGAATGCCCAATCATTCGCACTCCTTTTTGCAGAGGTACAGAGAGATGAATAACTCGAATCACAGAGCTCAGCTTTCACAAACCTTTTGTTAATTTAGCCATAGCATTATTATTAACTCCAGTTGCCAGTATTGTCAACTACCACTTTAGAAAAAGTTACTTTTACAGCTCTATGGCTGAAAATCTCAATACTAAGTGTCAAACCATACAGACTTAAGAACTCCACATTTATTATTTAAATCACACCGTTCTAAAGTGAATCTCATAAATGTTGAATGCCTGGAGTTGCTAACACTGAGATGGGAAAATTCAGGTGACAGAGAAAATCCAACTGTTTCTGGCCTGAATTTACAGCACACTTGTGGCTCAGTTGTGTGCCTGTTTCCCTGCTGATCAGGCAGAGAAAAGCACAGAGATTAGAGTTACAACTGCTGTAACGTGCCATTGATTTTTTGACATACAGATCAACATATAGATCTGAGGATCAGACACAGGGCTGAATGTTCATTATTTAAAAGTTCTCAGCATAAAATTTGTTACTACATGTTAATGTTACAAACTGTGCTGCAGACCTTTTCCTTGCACCAATGTAATCAGCAGGAGTTTTTAGGCGTAGAAGGCTCTTTTTTTTTTCCTGAATATTGGACTTCTACTCAACTAACTATCAACCCACTTTAAAGCACATTTTTAGTGCCAGATGGTGATTATAAATCAGGCAGCTACGCTTGTATTAATTTCTACGAGTGCATGTTCATGTGTGTGAGAAGATGTGCAGAAGAGGAAGGTGAGATGAGCCATGATGAATATTAAGGGTCCAGGAGCAGGTCTATAACTGTTATAAACTGGCAGGGTTTCACTGATTTCATTGGTGCTATGATAAATACTAATTCAGCTGGCAATAAAATAAATGTAATCAGCTAAGCATCTGGTTCAGTAATATTTCAGAATGCAGAACGAGGCAGTAGTGTTACCTTCATATCTGCCTTTGAACTGAATCTGCGTGACGAAAAAGTGTAACGTTTCCTGCCTGGTTCTGTCTCTAGAAAGCTCCTCTATTGGCTGGGGTGCTGCCTGTGGGTAAGCACATGGAAAGAGAGATTCATATATGTATACAAGCAAATACACTGTAACAAACAAATACACTGCTTTAACTGCTCTGATGTTACTCTTATCTTCAAATGAAAAAAATAAAGCACAGCATTTAAGATTTGCACAAATTTCTTGCTCTTCATCCCAATAGTGAGGGAAATTAAGCTCGGAGTTGGCTTTAATCCACAATTTACTTGCCATACAATATTTAATTTCCTTTTAGAAAATAAAGCTTATTAAAGCAATGATAGTTTCATATATATATGAATTACTGAGAATCATAATATTAACAAAAAGAAATGAAGTCAGGCTGCACATAAAATCTACTCTTTTTAGGTGATTCTTAACGTTTTTTTACCTAAACATTTTCCACCAGACAGTTTTAAGTTCATTACCTTTTTCTAACAATTTCCTATTTCACAAAGTTAAGTTTTTACTGAATCTATAACTAAGAAATCAATTCTACGATGGCATTAAGAGATCCTAAAAGAAAAGGCGCTTTGTGCAGAACTGAAGGTGAACTCACTGCTGTGCAGTCCTCTTGAAGGCCTCATCAAATGCTGCTCATTTTTGGTCTGCGTACACATGTGTGAATGTACCAGACTTAAACTGAATTGGAACGCTGAAGTAAAAGCCGTGTTTCAAATTGTTCAGATTTATTGGGAGACCTCAAAAGGACGTCTTAATCTTATAGTGTTATTATTTCACATGGAAGAAGAGATTTCTGATGTTACTTAGAGAATGTCCCTCAGCTTATAGACCGAGAAAAAGAGCAGAACTCCCTCAACAGATATTCTAACAAGGGCTTTGAATGAAAAATAGCAAAACCTCTGCAGGGAATTTCCCTTTCATTTCATTTATTTGGCTGCACACTTTCACAACAATAATTAAATTATCTAACATTTGCTTTTACCGAAGAGTGATCATTGGCAACAATCCACTAGTAGGAAAAAAAGGGGGATCAAAGGCCAATATTTTAAACCAACAAAACAACTTCCAAACATCAAAGGAATGCCATGATGTTTGGCAGCTTCTTAGGAATTCAGTAATCAGCTCTTAGTGAAGATGGCAATAGAAATCCCAGTATTTCTGTGCAGTGGTGTCTCTAAGGGTGCAACATGTTTACAAGTTAGACCTCTATTTTTCCAGTTTTCGGCACATTTCAATAACCAAAACATCTGGTAATTGCAGTTCTGTAACATAGGAGGCCATACTTAGTGCAGATAACAGAAAGAAGTACCTCTTCCTAGGGAACGTTACATTCAGGTAGTTCACCAAATACGGCTCTTCTATGGGTGCAGAATACCACATAGAACCAACTAAGATACCATTGAGCAAAGTGCATTTTTATCTGCTTTATTTCTCCTAGAAATGTAGCACAGCACATTATATCGCCTGTAATTTTAATAGGTAAATGAGACAATGTTTCCATTGTTATTTTTTTCTCAAAGTGGTAGAATACATTTCCTTCCAAAGGTCTGCAAACATATTTACAAAAAGTGTGAAAGCAGTAAATGCAGGCTTTTTATATTTTTACTGAATTTCCAAAGATTGACTAATATCTTCATTTTATTGGAAACGTGGTCCAAGGATGATACAAGAAATTAAATATCACACTTGATTTTGTTTTCTTGGAGGTTATGGTGGAAACAAATCAAACAGATGAATATTTTAAAAAGAACAAACTTATATTCCATGAAGCGTAACGACGATATTCCCAAACCGTTCCCTCTATTTTTATTATGCTTCAGCTCTAAAACATCTCTTGGTCTTTCTTAATGTCATCTTAAGATGTGGGAAACCACCTCCCTTTTGGAAGACCAGCTGCTGTGATGTGAAGTAGCCATTAAAATATCATTCACAGTATCTGCATCCTATGTGAACTTATTTTCAAGCAGGACTTACAAAATTTGTATCGTTGCCTTCATCTTTCACATTTTAAATACTGTTGGCTGACAAAAATAAAGTGTAGTGTCATGCTTGGTTTACCTAAGTCATTTATTTTGTAACTAATAAAAGTAAACAATTACCAGATACTGTATATATAGATATATATATATATGGCCACAAATAAACTATAGTAGAAAGTTATTTTGGTTTTGATAAAGTTAAGAAAAGCACATAAAATCATATTTCATTAATATCTTGTTTTATGGCCATCAATATTTTTTGTGGTTTTTTTGTTGTTGTTGTATTGTTCATCAACATAGCAAAATACAATCTTCCTATCAAACAATAATTATCAGATGGCAGACAATTTTTTTATTGGTTTACATTGGCAGGTCACAGTCTAAAAGCACAACCACATCAGGCAGAAATTGCACACAGACCGCCCTGGATTTTGAAGACAATGTTGTTTTTGCTTCTACCAAAAGATCTTAATTTTTAACACTGGGGACTGAGAGATGCACTCATTGAATGCATGGATTTCAATTGTGGGCTTTTTAAGCTAAATAAAATGACTGAAATCACAGCATTTTGTTTTGATTACAGCTTCAGTTTTAATGTCTGTGCTTGATGTTAGCAAACATGCTTTGAACTTCCTAGCGGCTGTTCCATAAACGTTAACGCATCCGAATAAAACCAAGGTGATTTTTCTCTGTTGTGGACTTCTGCAAATTTATTACCATTAGGCCTGTTCACTGGCTTTCTTTTTTGGTCTTCATTTTTGTATTTATATTTTGAACTTTTTTTCTGAAAATGACAGGAGAGATTTCTGTGTAACACTGTAACATAAAGTTGGTACTTTTGGAAGATATGATAGTAGCTGGGACGGGCCTAAAAGTATGCAGTTCTATTAATTGCAGAAGGCATGTTCATGTCTTCAAAAACCAGACTGGTCTTAAGATATTACTCTTTATTCGAGACAGTTACCATTACTTCATTAAAAAATGACAAAACAGCAATAAACATTTTAGCTCTTTAATGAGCAAAGATCAGGTCTCTTAGCATTGGAATAATATTCGTTATCCAGATTATCTTTATTTCACTCAGTGACCAGTAATATGGCCAAGAAGTACAAAGTAATTTTCCATCAAGTAGTATACAATTTATTATTTTTTTTTGTGTAATAAGCTTTCATTCTTGAAAAAGAGTAACTGAAAAGAAATGTTTCTGTTACTGCAGTTAGTTTGTCAGAGAAAGTTCTTCGCATTATCTTACAAACTATCAAAATTGCTAGTAATTTGAAAAAATGTAAAAAAAAAATCACATAACTTTAGTCTAATAGAAATATAGTACAGGTAAGAGAGAAAGTATTTATCAGGGATGTGCTCTTAAGTCCATCTCAATTATTTCTTTTATATAAATGTACATCTGATTACATATACAAACATTTTGAAAGGACTGTGGTATATAATTACTGGAAAGCAACAGGGAATGAAAAATTTCTTTTGATTTTAGAACACTCATTTTGAATCACACAAACATATGTACTGTTCAGATGTTAAAATTTCCAGCTTTTGGTGCTCTCCCCATCCTTACATACCCCTTTCTTCTGATCTACAGAATTCATTTAAATGGCTAATGTATAGCAAAAAGGGAATTAACTTTATATTAAAGTATCGTAAGTAAACTCTGTAACATGCAACATGAGTTCAAACCATAAACTGAGAGATGTAATCAGAGTGGTGATATTGGGGCGTTTTTATACCGCAAAACATCATTGCAATTCAATCTTTGGACACACTTTACCTCACCAATTTGAACTAAATATATTGTAATTAAGTCACAGAAAATTATAAATCCTTTACCACAGGAGTTTCCATTAGAGTTACAATTATGTTAATGTTAGACACTATTTAGGTGGAAAGGGAAGACAACATTAATAAAATAGATTTTTTTCTGGGATTCAAATCAGTGAGTTTTCACCACCGCATACCTAGAATTCCAAAAATACCTCTTAGAACTGTTGCAATTCCTTCTTTCACTGAAATTACTATGAAATATTTCACTGTAATTACTTTTGCCCCTTTAAAAAACTTCCTTAGGTTGTGCCAATTGATGGAGAAAGCTTCTATTAAAAACTCCAATGGGATGAGAAGAATTTTAATTACGGCTTAATCAGCAGCACAGCCACCAAGCATATAAATTATCATGCACATCGTGCTAAAAATAACCAGTTTCTTTTATTCCCACAACTTTTATACTGACAGCACTTAAGTGATAATCTTGTACCTGCCAGGCTGTAAAACTTCTTTGTCTGACTGGCAGATCTCAGCATGAGCCCCTTCCTAAGGCCTTAACAGCATTGGTGCTTTGTGTACTTATTCAAATATGTAAATATGGTCTACACAATAAAACAGGTCCAAATAAAAATTGGTGAAAGTTATCTGACATTCCATTAGTGTGTCCCTTGTGCATATTTATAGGTTTTTAAAATTTTCAGTCTTTGTTCTTTCCTGTTTGTGTTGCACATGCCTAATTCCATTATGTAACTTAAATCTTCAGAAAATTAATACTTGAATGTGAATGAAAAAGTATCATTCAGGACAACTGTTTCAAGCAACTGCCAACAGTTGGGTGGTTTTTTGTTTGTTTTTGTTTCTTAAGTTCATTTGATATATGTACAATTCATTTTTTTTTTTCAAAACCCCAAAAGTTCTTGATATGTATATTCACATAATATTCCTCCATATTTAAATAGTAAGAGTCTTGTAGGTTGAAAGCCAAGTAATCTTCAGTAATACCACCTACTGTAATCCATCAAAAAATAAAGTTTGTTTCATCTTGTCTGGCTATACCCTGGTTGTTGAGTGTGAATGGGGGTGGGGATGAGGATGGGGCAGAGTATTGTTCTGTCCTCCGGTAAATGTATTGAATGTGTGTAAGGGCTGAATCCCTGGTATAGTGTTGGGAATCATTGTGATGGTGTTGGGCGTCATTAAGGGAATATCATCAGGAGACCTTCTCATAGCTAGCGTGTAGTCCGGGGGACAGGCGGTCCTGAGAACCACCTCATGTGGATGGATGGACTCACATTCATGATCCAAGTCAGTGTGCTTCATTTGGAGGGACATTATCTCCTCTTCTTGTGCATGGGTGAGATCATTGGTAGTAGTACGTTGTGGGCTACATCTCCTATGAACATCATGTCTCCGCTTGTCCTTTTTGTAGTACAGTGCTGCAAAGGCCAAAATGTTCAGGAAGAGTAAAGATGCACCAACTGCAATAGTAACGCTCAATTCTGTTGAATAATCTCTTTGATCCACTGAAAATGGGCTTGGTTGCTGTTTGGGATCATCTTGTTTGGCTGTAGGAAAGGCTGAAGTAACAGAAACTGAATTTTTCCTTGTTGGTCTGAAAGTATTATCTGTTGATGGCACTTTAGTTGTGGTAGAGGTATACTGTGAAATGTCGTTAAGATTGTGCAGATGAGGTACCAGTTCCAACCAAAGGTTCACTTTATTGGCCCTATAATGTTCTTTAACTCGTGGTTTTAATCCAATGTGAAGATACAGTTGGTCTTTCTGAGAATATCTGGTCCATGCTACTTCTTCAAAACGATTTGGTTTTGTATGGATGAATTTTGTATCTTGTGGCACGGGCTGATTTGGGTCACTAAAAAAGAAAATCTCAAATTTTATACAGTATTTCAAAGGGAAACATGAAATTAGTATTTTATACTTAACATTCAAGTCTGCCTTTGGACAGAGCAGCATATTATTTCTTAAAAGGAGAGGTTTTACTAATCTCGGTTAGATACAGTATTATGCAAATGAACCACATATAATCTTTTGTTACATAGAATTCATCACTTCTCTATTTCTACAGAATGATAGTATCACTCACACAAATCTTTTACTGCTGAGGAAAAACTGCCAGCAGTGTTGTGATGTGGGCAAATGCCTACAAGAAGCCAGTGTGAGAGGCTATTAAGCTTTTTCTATTTTCATTTTAGTAACCTGAAGCACAGCGTTTCAGTTCACACACAGTATCTGTGGTCTTCTAAAGGTGAAAAGACCACAGCAGGGCGTAACTCAATGTAACACATACTGACTTAGACTCCAATGGCCAAAGGTGGAGTAGCATTTTGAGATACAACTAAAAGCAGGATTTGTGAAAATGTCAAAACCTCTCAAGTTCTTAGATGCATTAATGTAAAACATTTTTAACTACCTGCATATGTTAAACACTCAATTTATTACTTTTCTAGGGAGCCCTTAAATGATTTTTGCGTATGTGGTGTTTAAAATATCTTCATCAGATTACTCACAAAAATATTTTTCCCTCCTTTTGCCAGAACGTGTAAGTGAACTCAATGACATTACACAGCTATGCAACCCAATTCATAATTTCTTACTCATCTGTGAATATTTCCAAGGGAGATATTCAAGGGAAAGCACTGCTTACTTATACGCGGTGTTTGTATATAAAATTATTCATTATCTGGTACTCACCCAGTTTTTGCGAAGTTTGTCCAGTATGTCATCACTACTGCACTTAGCATGACATCATTTTTGGAGAAATTACAAGGAAATAATTCAGTAGGACCAATCATGGGGATTCCCAGTACGTAAGGAACCTCATCTCCATGGGCTGCATCTGCCCACGCAGGTACCTGATCTGTCTGGCAATGATGGTAAAAGGCATAGAAATATGTAGGCGATCCAAAATTCGAGTGAAGATCTGCTGTGGCCACTGCTGGTGCAACCCATTGGTGATCAGTAAACAAAGCCAGCAGTGTTTTTCTTCTGGTCTCAGGATTGTGTCGATCTGCCCAGTCGGTGTACATAAATTTAATAGTTTCCCTCAATATATCTTTGCCTTCAGGGTATCCGTACAAGTTATCAACAAAATTAGAAACTGCAAAGTCAAAATCGCTAGCTGAGATGCCATCTTCACTATCCACAATGTTTTCAACAAATTTTAACCCTTCGCCTTGATTAACTCCCAGCATGATGTCGTAATTGAGGAATTCTCCTTGTTCCATCAGTATCTGAGGATCATCGGGTATCACATCGCCATCAATTACTGGTCCAAAGGCTATATGGTATCTAGCTGGTTGAATGTCCTGGTCAACGAGTTCTCTATAAGGCTTCTTCTGTAGACATTCTACCAGTTCTACAGTGTCCGACATGTTGCAACCAACTTTTGTAGCCAGCATCCTGGCATATTTTGCAGGCTGAAAACTAACCGCCCAGCTGGACAGTGCTGTTCCACTTTGAGCTATTGCTCTTTGAAAAAGTCCTGTGGGGAGAAATATTTTAAAACTACTGAAGTGACCTTGGAACAGCTATATACTTGAAAGATTCAAAGAAGTTCTTTGAAACAATAGTAAAGTTTAACAGAAAAAATACTTAAAAACAATCCTAGTAATAGATAAATACACAAGATGATGAGATCTGACTGCCGTTGAGTCTACAGGTAATGTCTACAAAATCAACTCAATATGTGCAGAAACTGAAGCAAATGATTCTACCTTTGTGTAGTCCAGCTGAAGATCAGAATTTCAAAAGGAACTCAGAAAGAAAAAGAAGTAGCATTACCTTGTGTCCAGTGATGCTATTAGCATGAAAGAAACTCCTGCCTTTAAAGCACATTATAGGCTAGGGAAAAAGCCAGGAAGTCTCTTCAAGCTATCATCAGCATGCATGTATATGATCACGTATTAAATAAAACTAATATACTGCTATTTTATTTTCTCATTGGGATTAAACCTGGTTTGAGAGGTACAGTGTATTGAAGTGTATATTATAGCAAAAGTTAATGTTTTGGAGCAATGGATGGGAAGGTACTAGGCAGCTATTAAATTTACATGTGTCTGAGAGTCAAGATCCTTTCTTGTAAAGTGTTTTTTTTAATGAATGCTTATAGTGATCACACGTGAAACATGAAAAATGTATATTTTACACTATTTAGCTTTGTAATTCAGAGATATGAGCATATGTTCAGGTATTCATTTAGGGAAGAGAGCATGAAACAGCTCTGTATATAAACTTGTAGCAAATCCCAAGGACTTCAGTGCAACTAATTTGAATTTCTGCAGATTTAACTAGCATTCTGGATCAGGAATTTCACTCATAGAAATAAAAAATGTTTTAAAATTGACCTTTTCCTCTCCTCTCCATAAGCATTTTTGAGTGTGTTATGAAGTCTCACCCCTCTTGTAGTCAGTAAATCAATTAATTTTTTTGCTAATGACTTTAACATGGTGAAGACTCCAACCTTATTCCTCTATCTCATGTATTCCTTTCCTTTTGGGCTTTTTCTCACTCCCTCTGGAAAGAAAAGTTCCATTTCTGAAAGAAATTTTGAGTATAACAAGAGACAGAAAAATTGATCTCTTATAATTCTCATTTCTAATGTTAGTACAACAGAAACTTAGATTATATGTAGGTGCTTGTGGCCTTTCTGTTGTTTTTTTGTGTGTGTGTTTTTCATTTTCATGCACGTGCATCCAGTTCACCTCATTAAGTCTTTAGCGCTTACTACCGGAAGGTATTTTACACTGGATTCTACCTTTTTAAAGCTCACTACAAGTAATACAAAATGGTCCATTGCAAATGTAAGTCGTACTGATATAAGGCATATATGTCAAATTAGGTTTCACTTACGTTTGTAGGTGCCCAGAGTAATTCCACTGACTTTGGTCAGGAACTGACAGGAAATGACATCTGGCCTCACTTAATTTTGCTCAGGATTTATATTCTGGCCCATGTTTGATGAAGAGCTGGGTACTTCCACAAAAGAAACTAGTGCTAAGGTACTCAGCTTACTTCAGAACTTGATTTCAATAATGCAAAACACGTCATATGCCTTGATAGGTAACATATTTCTATTGATTAAAAAAAATAAATACTTCTGTATTCTCTTAATTAAGTCAGAGATGCGTCTTTACAAACTGTATTTCAGTACCAGATTCTGCACATTCAGAAGTTAATAAGAATCAATTGCTATCAGGAAATATTTTACAAGCTTATAAGCAATTTTCAAATCATTTTAGACTGTATTAAAGTGAAATCCAAGTCTTAAAATCAGATAGGTGTATGGATTGAAATATGTAAACTCAAGCTTTTCCTTAAATTTACGAGAAGTCATATCCAAGATGTTATTTCCTTGCAAGAAAAGAGTAAAAAATAAGAAAGAGCTGGAGCTATAAAGCAAGTAAAAATATATCTGCATGTTTACAAGGTCAGATATTGAGCTAGTATAAATCAGTGCAAAGTCAGAGGAATTACCACAGAGGATCCAGGCATTATATTAAATGTAACAAAAAGACAAAACTGAATTTTCACAAACATGTATTTCATGATACTTCATAATCTTTCTTTTTGCATATTGCATAAATCTCTTTTTACTGCTTTATTAAATATCTCTGAAGAAGGACAGAAAGAGTAGGCTACGCATTAAAAAATGCTGCCTTAAACACGAGGGCTCACTAAGTGAATACAAACATTGAGCACTGGATTAAGTAAAAGTGGTCAAGTCCTCTGGCCGTAAAGTTCTCCTGGGAACTGAAACTAAACATCCTCCCTTCTGGTGAAAAATTCTTAAGGAAAAACTCCTCGTCTGAAACTACTTGGTAAAAAATGAATAATGCTGTGAAAAATGATTTTCATTCTGTCAGATCAGTATCTCACAGGAAGGAGAAATATATTTTTATCTGATAATGTGTATGATTATTATAGCTTACGGGCTCCAAACTGATGGCAAGAAGATTTAAATGCTCAGCAGACCATATCGCTTTGTGACTTCTGTTCAAAAGCTCACCAAATAAATAATAATAATTTGCAATTTGCATTTATTCATCTACATTTTCAGAGCGCTTTCTAAAGATGAGTGCTGTTCTGCCCACTTGCAGATGGGCAGCACAGAACAGCACCATCCTAAAAGGGGCTGAATGCGTCCTCTCCGCTACCAAGTGATCCTTCCAAAGGAAAATGGAGCCAAGAGAGCAACTGAATTTGCATCTTATGAAAGAGACTGGTTAACAATTTGCAATAAAATTTGTTTGGATAATATTAGAATATTGCAAAATATTTAAAAATTTTAAACAGTTTTTCTTATTTGAAGCTGACCAAATTATTTTAGTAATTCTCTAGTGGGAAGTCTGAAAATCTCCAAATGAAATATAATGAGTACATGTGGGTGGCACGTACTGTTTAATCCAAAATTCAATAAAGCTTTTTTGTTTTTTTGTTTTTTGCTTTTGTTATAAAAGAAACCCTGACATTTACAACTCCATTTTACATACACATCCTTAAACCCTCCCTCCAGATCCTTTGAACTCTTATGTTGGAAAATAATGGCACCAGAATCCCCCCAGAAATTCTGCTCCTGGCAGAATTCTGGATGTGTGTTGAATACAACAGAGTAAAATTTCCTGATAGGAGGCAAGACATGACTGCCCAGACATTTTAAATAGTGGCATATCACATGAATGCTACATTGCATCAATCAGACTAGTATTATGGTCTGGTTTTGTGTAGTCCTGTGTGGATCCAGGAGTTGGACTCCACCATCCTTTTGGGTCCCTTCCAACTTGGAATATTCTATGATTCTATGATTAAAATCAAGTAAGAGGAAAGAAGAGAAACATTCAACTTTAAGCCAAATCCTCCACACCAAAAGTTATTTCTTGTGAGTTCTGGTGAAAAAAAAAAAAAAAAAAAAAGAGATGAAGCAGGGTTTCAGATTACAGGGTAATGCTTCTTGTAAAAAGAATCCATTTCTTTCTCTCTTTTAAAATAGTTTAAAGGCCTGAGCTAAAGAATTTGTCACTTTCATTGACCTCAGTGGGTTCTGTATCACAGTGCTGGGTAAATACAGCTATTTTAATCTGAGTGCAATTATTGTTTTATGACTGGCCAATTAGTCTTCCATGAAGATACGACAATATAAACCAGTGTGGGATTGTGTGCCCAGTGACAGTGTGATTTCCTTTGTAAAAGTAAACAGTACGGATTTATTTGTGAAAACAGCGAGACAGAAGTAATGTGATCAATAAGCAATAGCCATGCAAATGAGAAAAAACACGTGGAACTTCGATACTAAGCTTATGGAATAAAAAACTGGGGCCCCTCAAACAGCATGTTTTTAATTTCCTGCTGTCTGCCTCAAGTAAAGAGAAAAGGTGTTAGTTATGGAATAGGAAAGGATATAGAAGAAAATCCATTTGCAACTTGGATGCTTTGACAATTTTGGATCATGCATGCAAGACATTCAACCATTTTTTTTTTTAATTAGAAGACAGCAAGTAGAAGCTTATGCAGTTTCAGACCAAAGATTTCTGAACTAGGTACTCTTCTCCTTCACACAAAATAATAGTTTTAAGTATTTTAGTTGTTAGCCTGAAAAGAGAAACTGTGTCTTTTTAGTTTTCCTTAAATTCTGCTCCTCATGAGAAACTAAACTTGCCTTTCATGATTGTCTAAATATAGATGACCTCATCTACTGTGAGCATGACTGACTGGCTTTCCAAAAAGGACACCCTTAGGTAGGAAAGAAGAGAGACAAAACTGATACACTGAGCATATGCTGTTCAGAAGTCTGCTATAAAGCATTTCAACAAAGCTCCATAGGAAAAAGAAGAAAGTGACCCAAAATTTAAACATGCACAGAAGAGCTGAGGGAGAAGGCGTTTAAGTACAGCCTTTAGAAAGTTTGCTTAATACTGAGCTGAACTCAACTGTTCTTAGAACAAAGGGAATATACAGAGCATCACATAGTACTAATGGTGGTGGCATGCAGACACCAAAATTGTCAAAATTTGCAACCTGCATAATACCTTTGGTTGAATTGCTCCAACGGTTACCTTCAGAATAATGGGATAAAGTCAACAGATTGACGCATGAACCGCCTGCACCAGATCCAAAAACAGTTATTCTTAACGGGTCACCACCAAAGAACCCAATATTTTCACTAGTCCATCGCAAAGCTTGAATTAGATCAAGGAGGCCATAGTTTCCTTTTGCTGCTTGGTCCCCAGTGCTCAAAAATCCTGTGAATGGAAATGAAAAAAAGAAAGGGTTAGAGAAGTACTCTTCTGACTAATCTTTTTGCAGTCTTCTAGGTAATACTTTAAAGGTATACGAAATTAAGCATTGTGCAATTGCATCATTTTCCATATTCACTAAACAGCAATTTGCAATTTTGCACTCCTCCTGGAATAATTCCTTTCGTGTTCACTCTTTTAGCCATGATATATTAATGTAGGGAAAATGAAGAAACATCACAGGCTGAGTATTCATCAAAGTACTAACAGGTCACAATTTACTGCTCCCAAGGACTCTGTGCTGATTACACTAAGTTAAAGAGTAAAGGTTTAGAAAACAGATGTGATGAAAGCATTTTTAACTGGTTGGTCAACTGTGCATTGCACTTCTGCAGATGCATCTGACAGCTTTGTTCCTGCTTGAAAGACAACAACTCCACTTCTTTGTATATCATGTTCAGTTAAATCACAACAATACGATCTTTATTTTCTTTTTCTTTTTATTTCTTCCATATTCTTTTCTCCCCCTAAAAATACAGCTGGTGTCACAGGACAGACTGCATTGAAAAATGAACTCAAGTCCCCAAGTTCCAGCACATAGTCATTAACCTCAATTAATTGAATCTACATTAAAAGGATAAAGACAATTTAAGCCGTTTCTGTGTTCCCTTAACATCAAGAAGATAAGAGCTCAGGGGCAATCAGGAGAGCACAGGAATTGCTTCCTTTTATTCCTACTGGAAGAAAAACAATGCAGCACATCAGATGCAGGAACGACTGTTTTACACTTTACTCCCAGCAGTGCCCTGGCATTTACTATTGCCAATACTTCTGTCATTAGAGACTACCGAATAAATGGTGGACAATAAAGACTTTGGAGAGAATCACTGTTGATAGAATATATTGTTTTGCTCTTGGATACTGTTAGTTGATATTTCCAATTTTCTTAAGCTTAAAAGACAAAATATTTAAATAATACCAGCATCCAGATGTAGTCCAGTACCTCCATTTGCATATGAAACTGATTTAACTATCACTGAATCAACAATGTACTGTTTTTCAGTACATGCTTTGTAGAGAAATGCAAGCATTAGAGCAATTATTTCCACATTAGTTATGTATTAGTGAGTCTTCTACTGTAAATTTATACTGATTTAACTCTCTTTAGAATAGACAGCCTACTCAAAAGTTCACAGTTTTTTCTTAAACAAAACCACAGCATGGTTCTCAGAGGACTGTCATTGCTTCATTATGACAAGAACAACATCTTTTGAGACATTTCTACAAAGAAATGGAGAACCGGAAACACATACATAATATAGGAATACAGCTAGGTGCATATGCATACCTATCACAGAACTACAGAATGGCCAGGGTTGGAAGGGACCTCAAGGATCATGAATCTCCAACCCCTCTACACATGCAGGGCCACCAACTTCCACATTTAATACGAGACCAGACTGCCCAGGACCCCATCCAACCTGGCCTTGAACACCTCCAGGGACGGGGCATCCACAACCTCTCTGGGCAGCTGTTCCAGCACCCCACCACTCTCATAGTAAAGAATTTCCCCCTGACATCCAACCTAAATCTCTCCTCCCTCAACTTAAAAACATTTCCCTTTGTCCTGCAGTTATCAACCCCTTCAAAGATGATTCCCCTCCTGTTTGTAGGCTCCCTTTAGGTACTGAAAGGCTGCAATGAGGTCACCCCACAGCCTTCTTTTCTCCAGGCTGAACAAGCCCAGCTCCCTCAGTCTGTCTTCAAAGGGGAGGTGCTCCAGTCCCCTGATCATCATCATGGCCCTCCTCTGGACCCTCTCCAACAGTTCTCTGTCTTTTCTGTACTGGGGGCTCCACATTTGGACACAGTATTTCAGATGGGGCCTCAACAAGAGCAGAATAGAGGGGGACAATCAATATCCACATGTATTAGGAACATGCAATTTGTTGCCTTGTGATTGTTCCTATTTGACTTCAAATGGCAAGCTTACATGTGGCATTATTCTTTAATTGGTATTCTTATCTAAACATTTATAGTAAGAGACCTTTGCTGTAAACTGCACTGATGGCTAATTGGCATCACTGCTTCAGTTGTGGAGCTATGGCACATTTGGGGTGAACAGTTTTGTTTGTGTAGGTCAGTCCTGATCTTTGTTACCATGGAGAGGAAACAGGAAAGTGGCATAAGGTGCCAGACCAGCAATTCTCCCACTTTCAAATCTAATGCACAGATCTAATGGGCATATTTCATTCACTGTAGCTGTTGTAAATCGCTGTTTGGATACTGGACTCTAAAATAACCACTATTTTATGACCAAAACCCACCACACTTACTTATTATTTAACCACGTGAGAAAGGAAAGTAGCATCACTGTCACAGAAGAAAACATCACCACCTTATTCAGGGAAAACCCAGAAATGAACTCATAATTAATTCATTCTTGTTTTACTATTACAACCCAGTACTCAATTGAGATTAATATTATGCTATTTTACTCTCTTTTTTTTACTCTCCTACGTTTACTTCCTTACATGCAACCGAAGAGGCTGCTAAGCATGCCTGTGCAAAGGACCAGCCCCAATATGTACACAGGCACTCATTCCTGTCTCCACACAAACAGTTCTTAAAGATGCAGAGAGACGATATCATTGTACCTATGACAGCAAATCCACTGAAAGCTTCCTAACTAGTCTCACTGCTGTGTCAGCCTGCTTGGAGCTGAGGGATGGCACCAGTGACTGTAATAAAATGGTGTGAATCTATGGGAACTACTGGGTCCTGTGGCTGCAGATGCTGGGAGAGCCTTCTCCATTCCTTATATAAGCACATGACTGAGGAAAATCAGTAACATATCAATTCATCAAGAAGCACACAAGTGATTGTGCTGACTTACAGGATTACAAAAAAAAAAAAACAAAAAAAATTGAAATAAAAGCACCAATGGGACAGGAGTGATTACCAAAATTGTGCTCTAAACAGCTCTCTCGTTGATTTTTTTCCCCTATTCTGGATTGAAGATTCATGGGGCTCAGAAAGGGTCTGCTCTGAGCAGGGCTGCATGTTGGTATGAAAAAAAGCTGCAGAATTCTCAGTGACTCCTAGCATTTTGAAAATAGATGGCAGTGAAAGTCTTGAAGGAAAACAAATGAAAACACTCAAGATTGCTGAACAAGTTATTTTCTGTATTCTGCATAATATGCAGCAAAGCAGGCAGCAAGTAAATCTTTGCCTGGAAAAATGACAGCTGAAAATTACAGGTGAAGACTTAAGCTATCCCCTGACGTTAAGTGAGTTCACATCAAACCCTGAAGCTTGATGGGAAAATGGGAAATCCTTGGGAAATCATACATATATTTGTTTTAAAGAATTCTTTGTGGAAAGAATTTTTGTCTGAAAAAGAAAAAATTCCTCTTGCTGACAAAAGTAGAAACTTGCATTCAATTCAGGAAATGTGCCAGAAGGGGGAGCTTTCAGTTTATTAAAAAAAAAAAAAGAAAGAAAGAAAGAAAGAAAGAAAATAGAAAGAAGGAAGTATTAGTAATATTTACTTCATTCATCTATATTAGAGAAATTATGACTTGTGTCCAGAGCAATAGCTCTGATGCAAAAGAAATATTTCATGCCTCCTCAGCAAGAACCACATTGGCTGACTTCCATATCTACACAAGATGGATGATTATTGATGTTGACTTTCATGACTTGAAACATTTCTATCTCAATTTTCAGAACCATAAGAAGCCCGTTAATATCACCACCTGTTCATGCATTTTTTCTTATATGCAATAGTATCAGCATGGTCTAAAAGCATTCAAAATGCCACGAAATTGGAGATAGGACTTATAAAGCAGATGAAGTTTTTCTTTCTTTTTTCTCCCTTTTTATTTCTTTTTTTTTTTTTCCCTAGCAAGGAGTGCCACATTGCAGTTACATCCACACAGAGATACATTAAAACACAGCATCATACTCATTCTGCAGGTCTGTGGAGCAAGTGCTCTTACTCCTATTTAGCACTTGGACAAAACAGAGGTTCTACCAATACCTTTTATCCCTAGAGGAGATTTCAGAATGTAGTTAATATAGACACCATAAAAACCAATATCAAATCTATTCCTCCATCTGTGTCATTTCTAGGACACGATCACTACGCTGTGCAGATATTAAGGTAACAATTTTGAGTCAAAGAGGCAAACTGCCTGTGGTGGAAATGGCTTGTGCATGTGTGTGTGTCTGAAAGCTTGTTTGTTCAACTGCTTTGGCTAATTTATTAAAATCCCTCCCTGCAAATGGTGTCTTATTAACATCCTAGGATTGTCATCTCTGCGAGAACACAGATGCCATCATCTCTGACTCTTGTTAAAAAAAAAAAAAAAAAAAAAAAAGTGAAGTAAATGATTCAATATTTTAGTGATTTCAGGAAGGCATTTCAAAAAAAGAAAAAAAAACCCTTATTTTTGTATTATTCTCTAAAAAGGTCAGATTGGGCTAATTTTGTTCCATAATTAAGTTCTTCTACTGGAAACATTCCAATCATCAGCTGAACAATTGCTATTTTATGTTCTGAACAGACAGGTTATCTCTTCTTTTATCTCCTCTAAAGGAGCAGACGCTAATGGAATTATGGAAGTGAGGACATGGTCTTTTGTGAGTTGAGAAAGAGATTTATTAAACTCATTTGGACCATGGCTCAGCCACATGGCTGTCCGACAAATGGACAGTGTGCCAGAGCCAGGCCCTCTATTTTGTGTTTAAATAAATTGTAATGCTGCATAGGCTTATCTGCCCATTTAATGATTTATGCTTCCATTCAGATAAATAATTTTCTAATGCAATTCCAGTATTTTTGAAGAGTAAATAAAATAATAGAGATGGGAAGTTTTAAAGATGTTGTTAAAAACCTTAGCAGATTCAATTATATTAGGCTCTGACCTAATTTAAACATGCAAATTAATGCAGAGGAGAAGGCTAAGAGATTTTTTTTCCTAGGGTAAGGGAACTACTACAGG